ATGTAGCCCCAGAAATTGTCGTTAGACAAAGCCATGGGAACCCCAACATGCGCCGGATCAGCTAAGCGCAGCACTCCGTACAGATGGGCACTTGACACCCGCGGCAGATATCGCCCAGGCTGCGTTGGCCGCAATTCACGACATCTTCAGGGCAGCACAGGACCTGAAGCTTCTTCCCGCCCTCGAACAGCAACTGTCGCACCCACACATCATCTTCTAAATCTCTCGCATCCTGGAAAGCAGGTCCGTCACCATAGGACCGCTTAAAATCCTCCAAAGCAAAATTCAGATGGAGAATCTGATCGCCCAAACGAAACAGTTCACCACCGAAGCGGTAGCTGATCTCGCTCTTTTCTGACTGCCTCACTTTAATCTTCTTGGCAGCACAACAAAAACAGATCAACATTTCCACGGTCTCGCTCGCATATGCTTGTCTCATCAACGCAATGGTCCTCCGGTCAACGCTTGGACCAACGAGGCTCATGTTCTGTTGCTCTTTTTGTCGCATCCCAGCACAATACCACGCCATATTCTCTTTGCATATGGCGCCTTCCGTTGCGCAACAGTGACGACCTCCCGGCAAACAGTCTCCATGACTCTGACACAAATGACGCTGTAGCTCCTCCAAATCCGCACCAATCCAGCGACAGCGTCGAAAGGCACAGTGAGCCAACGGCAATCTGATGCCGGAATCCACATCGACCCAACTGCGCAGAGCTTCCGCATCTGCTGGGTCCGCTGGAAACAAAGGCCGATCTCGCACCTGCCTCAATTCCATGTCCTGCTCCGTCACAAAAGACAAATTTTTTCGGACACGCATTGGCAACTCTTCGTCACTGTCACTGCTCAACTCCTCCGCATTGTTTTCTCCGTCCTGTGCTTCTATATTTTCTCTCGCTTCTTTCCCGGCCTCACATTCAACCTGCTGGTTGACATCGACTTTTTCACCATGCTCGTCGTCACTATCCCTGCGCAACGCTTCCGCATGGGTCTCTTCGTCCTGCGCTTGTCCATTTTCTCTGGTTTTTTCCCCAGCCTCAAATTCAACCTTCTGGCGGGCATCTACTGTTTCAATAAATTCCACCAGCTTTAACTGATCTTCCGCATTGCTTGCGCTGTCAAATGAAGCGACCATTGAGGCCAATGCACCCGCACACTCTTCCCAAAGTCTTTGCAAGTTGCTAGCAGCAATTTGATCGGCAGCATTTCTGGCACCTAATACGTCTAAGCTATCATAGTGACAACCGCCCCAATACAACAACACACCGTCATAACTTCTCCAGTCGGCAGCAGCTACTATAAAGTCGTCATAGTTGAAGTGTATGTTGTCCGGTAGCACACACCCCGTTCCAGAAAAAGGCACATCGATCACCAAGACGCGCAAGCCGTTCTTTGCCAGCATCGCGACAATCTCCGGTGCGTCCGCAAAACAGTCGGTGTCTAAGACTGCGTCGCGTCGGAGCAACGTTGCCAATTTGTCCAACACGTAACATTGAACCGCATCCAAACTGGCAAGTCTCTGATCTGAGCATTTCCGCCGGAGGCGGCTACGTCGTCTTTCTGTCTCGCTGTCTGCGTCGCCAACAATCACATGATACTCTTCGGCTGCCCACAACAGGGCCAACGCCAAGACATACAAACTCCAAGCAAGATCGCCCTGCTTTACATCGACTCTATCCATGCAGCAGTGTGCTAGAGCGCGAAAGAAACAGAATCCATCTCCTGGTATTCGCTGGATCCGCACATCTTGCCCAAGAATTTGACACATGTTCTCCCTCACCTCTTGCAAAATGTCATCGTGGTCCCGCCCTTCTGCCATGTTACGCAACGGCCACAGTTGCTCGCGTTACCCTGGCAGAAGCACTCGGCTCCAAGAGCACGAGTTCCTGCGTCGGCCACCTACACCTGTTCCGTGACCAGCTTGTTCCTAGATCATCCTTGGCCTATCTGACGCTGTTTCCGTTACATGAGTTCGAACACGTTGTGGTCTCCTATATTCCTTTCCTACTGCATTCCTTGGCTCCAAGAGCACCAGGACCCGTTCCTGGAGCCAGATCGTGGCACATGCAGAAAATCCCTCGACAGTTACATACGCTGCTATACGCTGCTCTTTGTTGCACAACACTCACCAGAGAGCAACGTCCCGCCTTGTAGTCAAAGTTCTGAGCCACCTGCAATATTCAACATGGCTACACAAACCAATAATTGTGTCCATGAACATAATCCTGTTACGAACTCATTTGCTTTCTGCCACGCAACAGCTATCCGCTGATTCCACAGCGACGCTGTCTTGATCTAGGTTGGTTTTTTGCTTCTGTCTCACCATACAGACTGGCAGATATTGTCCTGACAGATTCTATTGCTGTTTTTATTGCGTGCCCGGACAACAACTTCGAAAAGTAAAACTGCACTATTGCACCATTTTCTCGTTCTGCTCTTTTCGGCAAAGAAATCGCCAGGAGGAAGAACAGAAGATTCTGTATGGCAGCAACCAAGCAATACCTGTACCAGAGCCTTCAGACATCCTTCAAACTGGGCAGGAACCAATGCCTTTGACGTGTCCACTTAATCTCATTCCAAATTCACCACAGCTTTCTGCGGCGCTCCTTCACGTTGCTGTCTCGCCTGAAACAATCACAAAGTGTCTATCTGCAAGATGGGTTTGATCAAACAAACAACTGCCATACTTGTGTTCAGTACTCCCCACCAAAGCCGTATTGTTCTGGCTCCGCTCGCACTAACCCGTCTCACGTGCAAAACTTCGTGTATTTCTACATATGTCTAAGAGATTGATATGGTTTACGCTACTGCAGTCCAAGTGTAAGCAACCGGCCACTACTAGCGCGATATACGAACACGAAAGACACTGTCTCGAACTGGTACCCGAACATGAAAAAAACTGTCTCCCCAGTGTAATACGGAACTGGAACCCCTGCCGCTTTGACTCGGTCGCGGTTCTAGCCTGTGCCTCCACATCCACCACTATAACCTGTCGACTTTCAACTGCTACCCTGTGCCAGCGAACTGCCAGCCGTTGACGACCTACTCATCGCTCATGTCACGGCTGCGCTCGCCTTGTTGGTCTCAGGTGCCACCGCAGGTGTGACCTGCCAACTGTCCATCCCTTAGCGGACAT